CGTTCCCCCCTCTTTCCCTATACCCCCCTCTTCCCCACACTAACCCCCTCCCCCCCTAGATCTTCTTCGCAGACCCGCACGGCGCCTGGCGCTGGGCGGACGCGCGGCACAAGCGTCCCATGGGGAGCATCGTGCTCGACCCCGGCGTGAAGGAGATGCTGCTCGGGGATGCGAGGGATTTTTTGGCAAGTGAGAAGGTGTGTGTTTTTGAGGATTTTTGGAGGGCTTTGGGGTTCTTGGGGGTTTGGGGAGGGGTTGTGGGGGGCAGAGAGGAGAGAGGAAGGGAGGAAAGAGGGAGTGGGAGGAGAGCAGGAGGGAGGGGAGCGAGGGGGAAGGAAGGGCTGAAGTCGGTGGCGCCAGGCGAAGAAGGCGGGGTGGCCGTGCGGCTCTCGCTGCTGTGTCGGCGCAACTATGTGGCAGCGGCACCGGCGCGGGTGCGGGTCTGGGATGAGATGAGATGATTAGGGCGGCGGACGTGCATGATCGTCTCCCCTCCTCGTTGTCCAATGGGGCGGCGGCCGCGAATGGGTGGAACGAAGCGTGGGGCGCGTGCGAGTGGGCGGGTGTTGTTGCTGGTGATGTAGGCGCGCCGCATCGCGCTGGTGGGAACATGCGAGTCGGCGTGTGTGGAGTCAGAGGCAGACGGCTCGAGTCCACTCGTCTTCGTATTGGGATACACGGCACGGCTCCACCTTTTCCGTCCCTTTCCGTCCCTCCCTCTCCTCTCTTTTCTCTTCCCTAATCTCCCCCTCTTCTGAAAGCCCGCTGACACCCACCCCTCCACAGTGGTACGCAGACCGCGGGATTCCCTTCCGGCGCGGGTACCTCCTACACGGCGTGCCTGGCTCCGGGAAGAGCTCGCTCATACACGCGATTGCGGGCGAGGTGAGTTTTTTTATGTTTTTCTTGTGCTACGTACAGTCAGCCCTCTCATTTCCACCTCATTGCAACTTAATGACTTGACCTTTGTCCCCATGCCGCGCCACTCCCGTCCCTCTGCCCATCTTCCCTTCTCCGACCTCTCTTTCGATCCCTCCACGCCCACGCCACCCCGTCCTCTCCTCGATGTTTATACACGCACACATGCATATCTCTCTCTTTCTCGCTCTACAACATATGACTCATACTGACTCGCCTCTCTCCCACAGCTCATGCTCGACGTGTACGTCGTCTCGCTCTCGAGCGCGTGGATCAGCGATAGCGTGCTGATGGGGCTTATGGGGAGGGTACCGAAGGTGTGTTTTTTTTTTTTTCTGCGTCTTTCGCGATTTGGTGGCGTGGGAAGGCGGGCTTACTGTGGGGTTCATGCTGTCGGGGGACGGAAGGAGAGAAACGTACTGGGAGTGGATAGGCGATTGAGCTGGCGTGTCCGTGCAGCCTATCCGTGCTGCTTCACGCTTCCCCTCTTTTCTATCCCTTGCCTTCTTCGCCCTGCACCTTGTGACAGACTCCCATCCCTACCCCCCCCCCCCTCTCCCCTCGCCTCGTCCGTCCTTCGCAGTTTATTAACCCTTCTCCCAGGGCGCAATCCTCCTCCTCGAGGACCTTGACGCTGCCTTCACGCGCTCCGTCTCGCGCAGCGACGACAACGGACCCACCGAGGGCCCAGAGCTCCCGCCGAAGCGCCGCTCACGCGAGAAGGAGCTACGCGACCGCGATCGCGACATGATGAGCGACCTTAACACGCTCAGTCTCAGCGGCTTGCTCAATGCGCTGGACGGCGTCGCGGCGGCCGAGGGGCGCATCCTGTTCGCGTGAGTGCCTTATAAGACCGGCAGACGCACTTGAAATGCTGACACGCCCGCGCAGGACGACGAACCACCTTGAGAAGCTGGACCCCGCGCTATCGCGCCCCGGGCGGATGGACGTGTGGGTCGAGTTTAAGAATGCGAGCAAGTGGCAGGCGGAGGCGCTCTTCCGCAACTTCTTCCCGAGCACGGACGAAGACGAGCTCCCGATCGATGATGGCGAGATTGAGCTGCCCGGGACGCCGCAGAGTGCCAACGCATCGACGTCGTCGCTGTGGTCCGCGTCGACGCTCGCGTCGTCCAGCTCGTCGCGCAGCAACAGTGCGAGCGCCGGAAACGGCGCTGCGAGGGTGCCGATGGCGACGGCGCCCGAGCCGCCTGCGCTGCCGCAGTTTGGAAGCTCGAATAAGGCGTATTTGCCGCCGCCGGTGGCGCCCGAGATCGTCGCCGCGCAGCACTCGGCGCGCCCGCTCGACGGGAAGACGCTCGCTTCCCTCGCGAAGCGCTTCGCCGACTCGATACCGGAGGGGGAGTTCAGCGTCGCAGCGCTGCAGGGCTGTGCGTGCTCTCTCTTCTCCTCCCTTCCCTTGTACTTTTGTACCGCGTTCCCTTTTCTTTCCCGAGTCTTGTCTCCCTTGATCTGCGTTATCGATTGTAGCAGACCTGGCTGACTGATTGATGGACATGTGCAGACCTGCTGAAAAACAAGTCGCGGCCTGAGGCGGCAGCAACGGAGGCGACGTCATGGGTCATCTCAGAGCGCGAGATGCGCGAGCGCCTGCAGAAGGAGAAGGAGGCCAAGGAGACGCGCGAGAAGCTTGAGGTGCGTTGCTTTCGTTCCGCATATCTGCATGGCGCTCATTCGAGCTGTAGCGCGAGAAGAAGCGGAAGGCGGCGGCCGACAAGAAGGCGGCAGAGGCAAAGGCGAAGAAGGACAAGGAGGATGCGGAGAAGGTGGCAACGGCGGCTGCGGCGGTGCCGATCGTGCCCGTCGTGCCCGTCGTGCCCGCGCCCACACCCGTTGTTGCAGCGACGGAGCCTCCGGTGGCGCCAGAAACTGTTGTGGAAACTGTGCCGACGACAGAGACGGCAGCAGCGACTCCAGCACCACCGGCGGATGCACCCGCAGATACTGCTTCAGCTTCGGAGACCTCCGAAGCGGTGCCTGAGCCAGAGTCTACCACCGTCGTTGTTCCTGACAGCGACAGTGAGAGCGAGGAGAGCGAGGATGACGACGTCTGCCGCGCGCGCCCAGGCCGCCGTATATCGCCGTGGGCGCCCTCGCGTCCTGCCCACTCGCAGTGGCCCAGCCACCCGCCACCCGCCGGGCCCAGCTGGGGCTCGACCAACAGCTGGTTATGACTAGCCGCCGGCACCCCTGCAGCCACACTCACGCTTGTATCCTCATCGCCCTCACTACCATCATCATCCATCTTGCATCCAACCGTCCCGCCGCTGCCTGTCACCCGGCGGCACGCGGGCGGGTTCGCGCTGGCGCTTCTGACTCCCATGTACATCCTGCTCCGGGTTTATCTCGCTCATCTGTATGTCTTACTGCTGCATCTCACGTATCTCCTGCCAGGCCGCGGCACGCAGCGCCGGTCCTGAGCGCACTGCTGCGTCGTTACGTATATCACTCACTCACTCATCATGGTCCTTCTTCTGTGTACTATCTGCGTCGGTTCAATGTGAAATATGGTTAAACGAAGTACTGGAATGGAGTCTGCGTGGTATTCTGATTTTGCTTTCCTTTTCTAGGAGGGTTTCTCTTTACTAAAGCCGCCTACTTCAGCATCGGGTTTTGACTTGGCTGATATTTGAATTTTGTTAGGAGCTGAATCAGTCTCCGATAAACGCATTCGACTCTTTTCATCTCTGCATTATCCGAGTCGTGCTTTACATTATTTGCACCAGAAAAGTTGGCGCCTCTCTTCTTCAAGTTCGCGTTCACACCTCACTGACCGACACAAGCAAAGAAAACCTCCCGAAGGCTACAAGTTCCTTTGGTGGGTTCATTGACGTGTCTTATCCTCTGCGCAACCTTTGGTTCTATGTATCGTGTTCGTCGACCTATTCTCTCCATCCTTTGTTTCCCTGGCGACTATAAGACGGCTCTTAGCTTAGGAGCGGGTGTAAATCTTCCCTTCTCCTGCCCTGCCTATTGCACCCCGCCAATTAACGCCCGTATTCGCCGTTGTCTCAAACCTGTATTTCCAGTATGTATCGAATTCCATCGCAAGGTACAGGAACTCAGAACTAAGTATATACATACGATTTAACTAATGTTTTCTAGGCGCCACTTCGACCCCAATGGCCTTTCAACCCCGACTCTAGCAACCCCTGGCATGTAGAGCATAGCAACCCCCGACATATTGCTCTACATCTCAAGATACTCGCTAACAGTCGCGAGTATCCAGCTGGCACAGTCCTCAAGAGGTCATCGACTTCTACATGCCCGTAGCCCTTCACAGCAGCCTTGCGCCGATTGAGGGACGATTTCCTTCACTGCAGACCCTGGAGATACACATCTTCCCCATGCCATCCGACTTTGAAGAGCGCATTGAAGTACTCAAGGTATTCAAAACGGCACCCTTATTACACAGGCTTTCTATTTCCGACTCGAGGACTGTGTCGATCGTCGTGCCTTGGGAACAGTCTTTGACCTTCTATCTCACAGGTGCGTAAGATTTCTGGTTTACACTCGAGTGTCTTGGGCAGATGCGGAACCTCGTCGTTTGCCATATTGATCGCCACCCCTTTGCGGATGATGGGGTAGTTGTTCCTGTTCATCTTCCACATTTGCGTAGCCTGTCTGTTACAGAGGAAATCTGGCATACAGACGGCCACTCCGGGTATCTTTTCCAATCGTTGACTGCTCCACTGCTGGAGAGACTGGAAATCGAATTTCTTAGCTCGGAGTCCGAGCTCGCATTACCCTATCTCACTCCATTCATCGTTCGGTCCTCGTGCTCCCTTCCGACGTTTTCCTTGAGGATGGGGTCGGCGCCGATTTGCATTAAGGTTCAACTGATCCTCGAAAAGACCCCGGTGCTCCGAAAACTCACCTTGCAGGCGCAGAGAATCACGGATGGCCTTGTTGAGGCGTTAACCCAATCCTCAGCATCCACCCCTTGCATCCTTCCACTTATCCAAGTGCTGCGTATCCATGCCAAAATTTCTCGCGGGCAGTTTATGAATTCCGCCAATGCCACACACAGTGCACTGCAGCACATCAACAAGACAGAAACTAATAGCATCGTAGCACAGTTGGAAGTGCGCCAGTCTCATATATATTCCCATAACAGGGAAACATGAGGAATTTGGAGGTCGCTTGATCGAAACAAGCCGGTGCTATTCGTTTTGTTTTGTACTCAGCCAGGCTCTAAAATGTTCATGACTCACATGAGAGCAGGTCGAGTCAGACCGGAGGCGACGCGTCGTCTCAGGCTGACAGTGATATGCGATATGAAAAGGCTGGCAGGCGGACCTGAGTCTTACACCCGTTTCTTTTTACCACTGAGATTTCGGACACTCGGAGTTTATGTGTCCTTGTTTGCGAACTGTTGCCGGACGCGTCTGGTCACATGACTTCGTTGGTTCAACTGGCTGTATTGATTTATTCCAAAAACCGTCAAGGTCTAGGCCTACGCAAGGATTATGAAATTAAATTCCATCCAACCGTGGGGTAGTAGAGCTTGGGCTCAATTATTTGGTGCGCAACCCACTTTCCGGATCGTAACCTTCCGAGTCGACGATAGTGAAAATCATTATCGAACACAGGGCGGCAGAGGGCGGCCAGCATAAACTTCCGGAGTAGAAAGAAAATAGTGTGGGAATTGGCCATTCGGGCGGTTCAATTGCAATGATTACCCTCCACAGCTTAAATGCCATTTTCAACTGTGAGCGGTTAAACTCGGCATATACTCCAACGCAAACTACCATTTTGTTTCGTGGAGAGTTCCTAGTCCGCACCATTTCCCCGCATTGACTCGTTCGTTCGAAGCGCAGCCTAAGGCAATCCGATCATACGAATATCGACTAACCTAGCCCAAAGTTCTCGGGTACGGCGCGGCCGCGCTACATGAGCATACTGCGACTCTGGGTTCATCAAGGTTCAATCTCCTTCCGAGAATCTCTGCTGAAGCTTTTTGGTGCGCGACACTCACACAAACCCTGACTTACAGACCGTCCTGAATAGTTGAGTATGTTCATTTGGAAAAAAGCCGCTGAGGCGATCCTCGCCTGGGTTCATTCCTGTTCAATCTCCTTCAAGCCCGGAATGGATACCGAGGATGGTCCGCGGACACAATTCGTAGTTGCGGTAATTCGGACAAACCCTGCGTTACGAGTCCTGAGATAGTTGAGTATGTTCAATTAGGAAACAACCGTTGAGTCGATCTCCGTCCCTCCAGGCTTCAATCTCGTTCCCGGAGTGGATGATACCGAGGATGGTCCGCGGAGACAACTTCCAGTGTGCGACGCTCGAAAAAAAACTGAGCTTAGGAAGCATATGTATACCCGATTTGGGCTCGGATGTTAGCAGGCTTCAAATGGTAATTAACTTACTGTAAGTGGGGTGTCTAGACCGTGCTACGAATAAATCGGGGCAGATAAGATATGCAAGTCTGGAGCCCGGACCAAGCGATAAATAAAATGCAGACTGGAATGGAGGCGGGTTTAGATCTTTTTGCGTACCACCCGGATTCGGATTCGAGACCGCGAAAAATTGAGATGCAGACGGAGATGGATCACGGAACTTGAGTGCTTGAGTCTTGACGTGCGCGGGTCGGGGGTATGTAGCTAACCCCCGAGGATCATCATGATTCTGTTTGTTCAACTTGTCTTTGGATCCGTTGACTGGTGCGTTTACGTCTGTCAATGATACGTTCTTTCATTATGATGATCCAACATCGATATCCATATACGGGTCTCTCAGTCTGCGTCGTTGTTGACGTTGAATGTTCCCCTCCCGATCAACATAATCGACTTCGAATTCTGAGAAGTACTGGGTGAAGTAAGACGGCGTACAACTCTAAGCGCCGGAGGACTCGGATCCCGGGAATGATTCATGAACACGTCCGCTGTCCATACAACGTCGCTGGAATTCCCACTTACTATCTAAAGACAAGCTGGCACGCCTATTACTACTCGTCTTACTAGACTCTACGCGTACTCAACTCCGAGTCATTATTCTAATCGCAGAAATCAGCCCGCAAAACATACGCGTTTCCGCGCTCTGGTGCCTTCACCCAGACGGTTAGCCTATGACGTCCTTAGCGTGGTTATCATTGATACGGAGGAGAGACTCGAGGGCTTAGTGCGGCCTTGCATATATAGACTAAAATATTACCGAATCGGGATGGGTATGGATCCGCGTGGATTCAATTAAGTAAGGGAAATCTGATTCGCCGCGCGGTACTGCCAGCGCGGCCTCCACTTATTAGGTCCCGCGAAAATTGATGCGGTATGGACTCGGGAGTCGGAATCCAGCTCTCAGCCCTCGGTTTTTGGCATCGTACAGTGGCAGGGATTCGGTACGGAGCTCGTTCATGTGCATTAATCTGTATGGGCCAAACGTTGGCCTCAGAACTTACTCAAGTTAGGGGCTGGGAGCCCGAATTTCAACGAGCGGAGTGGAGGTCCAGGCCCGAGGTGTGCGGACCGTGGACGCTGGGGTCAACTTTGAGGATGCGTGGCAGCTCAGGCACACGTCGCCACCGGGGTTCGGACTTTGGGAAGGGAGGACTCCGATTTTTTTTAGGCGAGGCGGGGTTATGCGCATGCTTATGCGAAGACCAGTGGTGGTGAGCACCGCGGCGGTGGGGGAAGTATAGTCTCCCAGAGGCAGATGTGTAACCGTCGAACCTTCGCAACCTCAGGGTCAGATCAAGGATATCCTGAGGCACGAAGGTTTGAAGGAATTGAGCTACTCTGCCTCAGGGAGACTAGGGAAGTAGGCCGGCCGCGGACGCGGGTAGCGTGTGGGTATGCCTCGACTGGGTTTACGGGGGCGCTGGGATCGGCGTCGGCGTCGCTCGGGGTGTTTTACACATACTTTGCATCGTACGACTCGAGACTCGAGACTGTCAGGCACTGGCGCAAGCGACTCGATCAATTTACATAAACGAGAGAAAATCGCATATGTATAGGTGTCAGTGCGTAACATAATCCCAATGGGAATCATGCGGAGAGAGAGAGTCGCGTGGTTCATGGGGAGTTTATTTGAATTTCGGGGCAGAGGGCGCCGAATGGTTATATTTTGCTTGTGCGGCGTTGGAACTTGCGGATCCAAGGCCCGAACCGTTTGTTCACCAAAAAAAAACACTTCCTTCGCTGGCGCTTCTTTGGCAGGGAAGGGAAGGCACAAACTTGGACGGGGAGGGAAATTGGCGGCCAAATTTCGGCAGGGGATGCCCGTGATGGCGATTGCGACAGCGTGGATTGTCGATCGCTTACCGTTAGGCGCATTGGTTTCAGACTTGCAATTCAGATCTTGGCTGGACGGTTGGTCTGGGTTGGTCTCTTGGCTTGAGCTTGGTGCTTTTTTGTTGTTTTTTACACCATAAATAAACGATATGAAACGAAACGAGGCGGTAGTGTGGCTATACCTGGTAGTGGCATTGCCAATGGAGGAGGACGATATTCGAATTATGGAGGCACCCGCATGTGGAATTGATTCGAAAAAAGCCCAGAGATCACGAGTGATTTCCCGATCTAGGTTGCCGTTAGGTTGCGGTTGCGATCTCTCTGATTCTCTCATGGTGGCCACCACTTTTTTCTCCTCTGGCTTGCTGGTGCTCCTAGTGGGCTCCTGTCTATACAGGCACTGCTCCAACAGGCGGGACAGTCTCCACCCCAAAAAGTGGCTTGGTGCTGCGCGGTTGCAGAACGGCCTTGTGATGTGGTCATCTGACGGACGGATTCAGGCAACATCATGATCTCCACACGGACTTGTGATGCGTGCATTGGACGGGTATATTAATGGGCTCCCCGCCCGTTTGCGAGTTTTCTTCGTGTCCCCACCCCCACACACATTTCCCCACTTCCCCGCACATACATCCTCAAGATGCCTGGCGGAGCTGTTGTGCTTGGAACGACCGATACTAACCGGATCGAGGCTCCGGTCACGATCAAGACCTACTTTATGTGCGTCTTCGCCGCCTTTGGTGGTATCTTCTTCGGGTACGACACCGGTTGGATGGGGGGTGTCCTCGGCATGCCTTTCTTCATCAACATGTACACCCACATCCCCTACCCTGCTGAGCCTTTCACCGCCGCCACCATTCCCGCGAGCTTCTCTCTCCCGGCTTGGGAAAAGTCCCTCATGACCTCTATTCTGTCTGCGGGTACTTTCTTTGGTGCTTTGGTTGCTGTGCGTTTTTTTCTCTCTGTGGGCGTTTTTTTTTCAGTCGCTGATTGATTTTTTAGGGTGATGTCGCCGACGTTATTGGACGTCGCCCAACGATCATCATTGGTTGCATCGTATTTGCTGTCGGTTGCATTCTCGAGATCGCTCCCCAGGACGTTCTCGCTTGCTTTGTTATTGGGCGTCTCGTCGCCGGTGCTGGTGTCGGATTTATTTCCGCCATCATCATCCTCTATATGTCCGAGATCGCGCCCAAGTCCGTCCGTGGTGCCCTCGTCTCTGGGTACCAATTCTGCATCACCATCGGTATCCTGCTCGCCAACTGCGTCGTCTATGCAACTCAAAACCGCCTGAACACCGGGTCTTACCGTATCCCCATCGGCGTGCAGTTCCTGTGGTCGATCATCCTGGGTTCGTTTTTATTTGATCCACGTTTCTTTCGCGTGACTCATTGTCGCACCCGCAGGTACTGGTCTCCTCTTCCTCCCCGAGTCTCCCCGTTTCTGGGTCCGCAAGGGCGACATCGAGAAGGCCACCAAGTGCCTCGCCCAAGTCCGTGACCAGCCCGCCGACTCGGACTTCGTCCAGGACGAGCTCGCTGAGATTATCGCCAACTTGGAATTCGAGCGCCAGCACATCCCCGACACCGGCTATGTTGGCTCGTGGCTCCAGTGCTTCAAGGGATCCCTCTTTGACGGCTCCTCGAACATCCGCCGCACGATCGTCGGTACCGGTACGCATTTTCCCTCTTCCTTTCTGTAGCGCCTCTCGCTAATGCTGTTGTAGGTCTCCAGTGCGCACAGCAGTTCACTGGTATTAACTTTATCTTCTACTTCGGGACCTCGTTCTTCCAAACGCTCGGCACAATCTCGAACCCCTTCCTGATCTCGCTGATCACGACGCTCGTCAACGTGCTCGCCACGCCGTTCTCGTTCTACATCATCGAGCGCTATGGGCGTCGCCGCATTTTGCTCATTGGTGGCTCGTG